ATAATGGGTCACGATTAAGTAAATTCAATTCCTCACAATTCACTTTGAGTATCTTTTGGGTGGGAAATTGAGTTAGGGAAAAGAGAATTTTGCAATGAACTTCTTTGGTCGTAATTGAAATGAATGAAGCCAAGAGAAAAGGAGACGAGGAGACGCTGTCGTTGCGAGAGAGGGTTCATAAATTCATAAGAATTGCGAAGAAATCTGAGTATGAGAATTCTTCATAGAACTCCAATTATTTGTTGGATGCCACCTTGGAATGCCTCAAAGAATGCCAGATATCTTGTAGGTTTGACGTTCAAACCCTTCCGGAAGTTTCTCACGGTGTCCCATATCAGACAGAGAGAGAGTATCATGTGTTCGCATGAATGCTATCATTAAAGTAATTTGTGTGGTAAATATAAAACAATATCATTACTCAAATCACTATGGAGCCATCGTGAGTGTGTGCGATTGAGACACAGGCGTTTATGGAACGTGATATTGTCAACCCTTCTGATTATGAAAACCCACCCCAACCCCTCCATTTGAACCCCTGACTGATGATTTTCCATCCATATCCAACAAATTTGCTGAATGAAATGTCTCTTCGCACCCTTCCACCGGAATATTATACAACGTCACGCTTTTGTCGTCGTCCATTAAATCCACAACACGTCGCTAATAATCAACCCCTAAATTGTGTACAAGGAGTACATTAAGAGACAGACAGAGCATTTTACACAATAACCGGTGGGGTGGCGATGAGGCGCCGTCTTGAGGGGATTCTTTAAGGAAGGCGTATTCAAAGGTGAGCTCACTGTCCAGCTCGAGTGGAGAAATATTGCAATTCTGACATGAAAAAAAATGGATGAGGGAAGATATAAAATTAATTTGACGAAATTGCTTTTCCTCTAGCCATCAGGCATTGACATGGAAAGAGGCGACCGTTTAATTACATGTTTTATATGGGGGTAAAAAGGTAAACATGCTATCCCGTCAGAATGTGTATTTATCTCTTGATCTCGATTCTATATTACATTTAAATACAAACAGAGGGTGCCTCAGAACGGTGGCAAATCCACTGGAGATTGCTGTTTGCAAGTGCTCCGGGTGAAACAATGTAACCACTCACTTACTCCACTTTTATTATATGCAAATAAAATTTTGATTCTAATGGATCTCAATGACGTTCAGACTCTGCAGCGGCGAAACCCGTCGGCAGACGAGGAGAAATTGAATTAATCTAGATGAAATCTTAGAAAATTCAATTAAATCTCGACACACCCAGTCATTGTTGATTACAGAGTAGAGGAGAGATTTTTTTTCCAATGCTTATGAGAGGAGAATTTATATGACTTCCAAGCGACCATTCTGGACCGAAATGAGCCCTCAGGAAAATATCATCGTTTTTATTCAATTAACAACTTCTCTCATTGCCCACGTTGAAGCGACTCCAGAATGAGGAAACCTATTAAAGATTATTTCCTGCTTCACTCCATCAGACTTCCAACCCCATTCGCCCTGCTGAGCTTTGTTGGGTATCAAACAAATGGAAAGCAATTGAGGCGGAAATTCAATCAGCGAAATAAATCATATCAAAATTGTATCCGCATATTCCTACTTTCCAAATAAGATCCACTTGCTCGGCAAATTATATTTTCAATGGGTTGAAGGGATGACGATTGTGTGGAGATTTCAGGTGCTGGGCAAATTTCCCAGTGGAATTTCCATTGATAACAATTTTATTGTGAATAATAATTTTTTTTCTGATGTATTTTCAAATGGTCAAAATTGTTCTGCATCCGCTCGCAGTATGAAATCCATCATGATTTGAAAATAAAGTAGCGAAAATAGCTGTCAATAGACCAATAAATAGGAATCCGCCTAAGTATCTGCAGAAATGTTACTACTGATGTGGCTTCTTTCTCTTTGATTGACATGCCGGCTCCTCGGCGTCTTGACAAATGTACCCTTGCGAGGGTGTGAGATTTTAAAGGAGAGCACAAAAGGGGTTCTTTTCACATCATTCGCTGAAGAAAGATGAAAGCAATTCAACAAATGTGTCACCCACACCCCCGAGAACTGATACGGCTGCAATCACAACAATCTCCCTTCGACTCTCCCCTCAATTCGATGGAATTTCGGGGAGGAAATAATGTGATACGATTTTTACTGCCTTTGTATCACAAAATGTTGTTTTTCAGCGGAAACCCTACTTTTCCCAGTGATATTGTTGGTTAGAATAGAGGGACTTTAAGAGATGCCCTGGCGACATGCGGTGGAATTTGAATTTGCTGAAAATATAGAGTGAGTTGTAACGCGAAATGTTTCCTCCTCGAGCAAATCTCTTGCTTAGTCACATTTCACTTAAATTGTCTTCCACTTTATCCCTTAATCCCGTATATTATGTTCAGCATTAAATCCTCGAGAATCGTTCACAGTCTCGCAGATTATTCTGCTAAGATCTCACCACGCAAACATCTTCGTCACCCTCCAGATGAGGGGACAATGTTCTCAAGAGGAGAATCCTGCCAATTCCACAGATTGTCTCAGACTCCCTTCGCTCCTGAAACTCAACACTCTCCAGTGTGGGTTGTTGAAGAGTTGGAGGGAAACCGAACAAATATTTTTAAGCAAAACTCCATCAGTTTGTGGGGGCTGCACACAGCCAAAAGAGGGATACGAAGTGATGATTTCTCTGCTTTGCTCCAGATTTATTGATTTCCAGTTTATCTCCTGTATTTTTCCCCAGCGATGCGATGCTGAATGGATGGGAATGACTGTGGAAAATAAAGTGGGAAAGGGAGAAGTTGACGGCGAACACAATACGACATGCTGAATTGATGCGTGGTTAATTTCACATTATGGACTCAATCACTCGGAAACTGATACGATTATATGTATTTCGGGATGATTTTTCCTCCCGTCATGCCCAGGAAAATATCATGATTATGATGACCATCACAGCCTGGCACACATTTCCTCTTTAAACCAGTTTCATATCTATAAAAAAGAAAAAGTTTAGCATCAGTTTTCCCACAGTTCTCTTTCCCATGCTGAAGAAGTGATTCGTAAAATGGAATAAGTAAATTATTAAAATGCACACTTATTCACGTTGAGATTCACCCTCACTTGCTTAGCCCTGATGTTCTGCGTCTGAGTTCGAGGGGAGAAATATGGCTCAAACACCTTGTTAAATAAATTATGCACTTGTTTCCCACATCAATTGATGTGTTTCACAACTCCCTGCGGACGTATGAATTTCCACCAGTCTTCCAAGCCAACCTGTTGAGTTCTTTTTTCCACTGGCTTCTCTCCTGATTTCCTCCTTCAAACTCAATTTCCTCCAACCACTCCCTGATGGCCAGATGGGTGGATTTGCCGGCGACAGGTGGTTCATTCGAATTCATAAATTGACATCAGCTGCGCTCCTGGATGAATGATGATTTTTCCTCTATTTTCCCCACAAACTTCTGCTCTTATCACCGATTCCTCTCGAAACATAGCACGTTCCTCCACAAGGACTATCACCAAATGCCGTGAAGGTGAGATCTGCAGAGTATTTTCTTCAAGTAAATTAAAATTTATTGTGAATTCAATTGAAATTGACCTCATTATTGGATCACGTTTCGAATTCACGAGAATCCCTTGAGAATCTGATCCCTTGCCATTTACCTATCGATAGACGAAGGTTTGAGATGGTGTTCCGTGAAAAATAAACACTTCTTCGCAGGATTTATCTGTCTTCCCCTCCAGCTTAAGCGGTGGCCGGTGGTGTTGTGTGCTCAAAGAACCCGAGAGAGACATGTATCGTGTATCTCATCCACATGAATTGAAATTTAGATGAATATCGTGGGGATTTCACAGAGATCCCGCACTATTATATTGCGATTTAGATTGAGTCCTCTCATTCCTGAGGGGGAGATTTCCTTTTGTAAATCCTCAAGGGTTGCTGCGTCTCTCTTCTATTCGCTCTTTCGCAAATCTCTCCGCAATACTCAACATGACAATATTTTTTTCCTGCAGAAACTTTAATTAAACACTGTGACTTTCAATCCTCAGCGTCATCACAACATATTTTCCTCTCATTTTCCACTCTCCACCAAATGTGCAGGAAAAAAAGACCCCGAAAGCAGAGTCATCAACATTAATCGGATCATAATTGGAAAGTTGTACAAAACTCAGTTGGGTTTCCCTCAAAGGGAAATGAATTTTCCTTCCAGTAGTGATGCGACACTGAGGCCTGATCATGCTAAATAAATTACTGTCCGCTTTCAGAGTGTGTCCCTTGTCATGAAATATTATATCCCGGGAAAATATGAAATTGGGGGAAGTTCCCGAACGCAAAATTCATAATATCGTCTGTGGGTATTGATGAAGACAGTGAGGGTGGTTGAAAGGGGGCGACTATGCAGCTTTATGGTGCGATTCGAAACTCATCATTATGGAGATATAGAGCCATTGATAAATTGCTGACTAAAAGCATACTAATTCACTGAAACCATCGAGCGACGGTGTATTAAAGTGAGGAAAAAATTGTCGATGCGACAGCCGTGACGGAAAGTCGAAGTCACCCTTTAAAGAGATAAGCAAAACTGGCTTTCAACCGGAAATGACACACAATTGAATGATAGAAAGAATGAATGCATTTAGTGTATTTTAAATACCGAATTTCCCCCTTTGTCCTCAAATTCTCTGCAATATTCTCTAAGAACGAATGGTTTATGACATTAAGTGGATTTCTCATTACATCCCGCAATTTCATTCAATTTTCCAGTCCTTGCATTGCAAAGTGAGATTTTCTGGGGAACAAGTTAATTAGTATTGAAGAACCTCGTGAAAATGTCTTCAAACTTTCCTTCAAGATGCTCTCGAGATGTTTTCCCGGAGCGCACGGAATTGCCTCCTCAAATTGTGTCGACAGCAAGACAATTTATCGCTGTGCAATTTGTCGAGATCCAATTTGTGAAATAGGATAAATATTTATGAGGCACACTGACAATCATACTCCATTGCAGTACTCGTTATGAGAACTTCGAGATGCCAAAGCACGGCTACGAGCAGATGGACGACGGGACTGGAGCGATCGGCGGCGGCGGCTACGCGGATGAGGGCCCAGAGTCGCCAATGTCCTATGACGACTACGAGCGTCCTCCGCTGCGACACATAGACAAGTACTTGAAGGCCGAATGTCCCTGCTTCAGCACAGTTCGCTACACCATCGCCCTGATGACCTGCCTCGGCTTCATCATCTCCTTCGGGATGCGCTGCAACATGGGCATGGCCAAGCTCAAGTCTGAGGTGAGCATTGCACTCGGGCCTGCGAGACTGTGATAAGCGACTTACCCACCCTAATCAGTCAGCTAATCGGCACACAGAGGCACTCGGAGAAAGTTATGGATGTTTCATTCAATCATCCGGACTAAGGATTATTCTCATCATTTCTTGTCACTCTCCATGCCTTAAATCAACCAGCCAAAGCTCAAAAGAGCGATCTTTGACTACTTTGAGCAAGACTTTGAGCATGAAATCCTGTTTTATTTCTTTTATAATCAATCGAATTGGAAGCAGCATTATTGATAAAAGCATAAGATTTGAATTTTTCTTGACTCTCCACTAAAAGATTCTTATAAAAAAGCGCAAAATGCTCATGCATTGCAGCTTTTACTCATCTACTCACACTACAATATACAACAGTCTTCTAAAGTCAAGCTATTCTCGGGATTTCACTACGTAGAAATTCTGCTAAATTTCATTTCCTTGCCTTTTCTCATTTACTCGCTTGGTTGCCTCCTTGAAAAGCCCTGCGAGTGGGTGGAAATTCATTTAGGGGGAGTCATTGAATCAGAACAACACCGAGAAATGTTCCAATGTTGAGAGTTCTGTATGCAAATTAGGGGTGTGTCGCATCAAAGGACCATCAGCGGTGGTTCGGAAGGGGTGGATCAGAATGAAATCGGAGCCACAATCTATCGAAGAGAGCTCCTGATTTAGCTCCCACCACGCAAATGTTGCTCTTTTAATTAATATCACTTTTCTTCCTCTCTTTTCAGTCTGCCAATGTAAGTATACTATATCGATGATTTTTATCGTGCTATATCTCTAATATGGATGCGAATGAGAACAATTGAACAGCCCTTCGGTGAATTTTAATATAATCATACGCACTCTTTTGTGTTTGGCTCCTTGCATTTTGTCCGGAATCAAATAAAATATGGTCTGACGAGGATAACGCGTGGATGGGGCGCGCCATTGAGATTCAGTCATCGTTCGAATGACTTCCGGTTTGTTTGACGGGAAATGGAGATGCTTTTGTGCGTCGCCCTTCGCAAATAACGACTCTTCACGGTGGAAGCGTGAAAATATGAAAGATTCCCCATTGCGGAGGGTGTCGTCGGGGAAAATGAATTTCCTCCCTCATTTGCAATATTTTCGGTGCTTGGCTTCTTCAAGGTGTCCGTCTTCAATTGGACCGTCGGCGTGGAGAGTGCCGTGGACTCGTCATTCTTCTGGGGTTATCTCGTAACGCAAGTGCCTGGTGGCTTTCTGGCGTCCAAGTTTCCCGCCAACAAGATCTTCGGCACGGCCATCGCATGCTCCAGCTTCCTCAACCTCCTCGTTCCCGGCGCCACAATGCTCCATCCCGGCTTCATCATCATCGTCCGAATGCTGCAGGGCCTCGTGGAAGGGGTCACTTATCCCGCTTGTCACGGCATCTGGCGCTTCTGGGCGCCACCCTTAGAGAGATCTAGGCTGGCCACCATGGCTTTCAGTGGTTCCTATGCTGGGGTGGTGATAGGCATGCCAATGTCAGGAATTCTCAGTGGCTGGATTAGTTGGCAGGCAGCCTTCTACTTCTACGGCGTCATGGGCCTGTTCTGGTACACACTCTGGCTTTGGCTCGCCTTCGAGAAACCCCGCGTTCATCCTGCCATCACAATTCAGGAATTGAAGTTCATAGAGAAAAGTCTAGGCGAGACGAATCCTTGCTCCACAATGCCCACTATAAGTTCGACGCCTTGGATGGAGTTCATGAGATCTATGCCGGTCTACGCGATAATCGTGGCTAACTTCTGTCGGTCGTGGAACTTCTATCTGTTAGTGCTCTATCAAAGCGCCTACCTCAAGCACTCATTTGACTTTCGCATAGAGGAGGCAGGAATTGTTGGTGCACTGCCCCATCTCATCATGACTATCATAGTGCCATTTGGCGGCATCCTGGCGGATAGACTGAGGAAGTCCGGAGCGATGACGACAACGAATGTGAGAAAGCTCTTCAATTGCGGAGGATTTGGTCTGGAAGGTGTCTTCTTTCTCGTTGTAGCGCACGCTAAAACAGCAGTAAGTCCCATTATGATGGTGTTGTCTGTAAACCTTCTGCAGAACATCCCTTATTCTTGCAGACTTCTGCAATAACAGCCCTGACCATCGGAGTGGCATGCAGTGGATTCGCCATATCGGGATACAATGTCAATCACTTAGATATTGCGCCTAGGTATGCTAGTATCCTCATGGGTCTGTCGAATGGAATAGGGACAATCGCAGGGCTGATATGTCCCATAGCAATAGACTACATTACGAGAGATAAGGTAAGAACTCACATGTTTAGACTGCAACACAAACATTAGCAAATCAATGAAACTTGCTTAATCATTCACGCTTGTATCTTCAAATTTTAACATTTGTTTGCCTAACAATTTATGAATTCGCCGACGATGGCCTCTATTCACACTCATTCAGGTCATTGCAAAGATGACTGGGTATAATGCTTTACAATCACATTATCTAATCTGTAATTAAGTCATTGCGCAAAGTCACACATGAAGTAATATTTCTCCGCCAACATCTAAAAATGCATGATTAATGCAACTTGGCAGCAAGTCTGTGCGCAGCCACTATTGATCTCTGCGTGAGAGCAAGATAATAAAAAAGCACAACTCAAGTAACAATAACCCTCCGGAACGGCCGCTTGACTCGGATTGTTTGTGAAAATTCGCCGGAATTGCGTAGTAAAGTGGAAAATTATATATATTTTGGAGTTTTGAAACGCTTGCCATCACTTTTAACTTGCCATGGCTATCAATCTTGACATTTCACACCCTCATTCAGGAGGGTGGCAATTTCTCCGGGAGTGCCTCAGTCATATTTCAGCACGCACGAGTAACCATGGATTTGGAAATAAATGAACTTTTTCGTTTCGCCTAAAATGGGTGGGATTCATTTTTCATACAGCATCACCCACTCAATCCTGCAGCTCTGTATTCTTTCACTCTGTTGCAGCCGAAGGAGTGTTGGTCCACAGTGTTCACAATAGCCGCCACAGTTCATCTCATTGGCATCACGTTTTATGGGATTTTTGCATCGGGTGAACTCCAACCATGGGCCGAACCTGTGGTTGAGGAGAAGAAAGTCTGGACCCCAACGACTGCCGGATTGACCAAAGAGACTACCTTTGTAAGGTTGCGAAGGCCGAGTTTTGTCGTCCGCATGATTAATGGTTTGTGATCTTGCAGAATGACCCATCACAGGAAATCAGTAGTACAACCAAAACTGTCAGCTATGGTGCTGTAGAACATGTGGCAGGCAATCCCTTCGCCTATCCCAGCACAATTGCGGAAGAGCCCGTCCAGCCAGAACCGAGAGACACGTATTTGCATGGCGGCGTGGACGAGAGGACATATTGAAGGTTATCATAAATACATTGAACCATTGACTACACGATTCATATCTACTCATTAACCTCACTCTTTGCGTTTATCATGTTGATCCCACTTTTACTCAATGTTACCTCATTTATAGTTTATCGTGGAGAGAAGTATATTTACATTATAGGGTTAAAATCCAGAGAAATAAAGAAATTAATTATATTAGATTTTTGTGATCTCATAGCTGTGAGACAGTATTTGACTCAATTCACACGAGAGAGAGAGAGAGAGAGAGAGAGAGAGAGAGAGAAAATGATATTAAACAGAAATGATGTATGAATATTTTAAATGTGTTATATTCTGTATCATACTAGTTAAGATTCATAGGAACATGAGAGGTATGTAGGTTGAGAGGAACTATAACATGTGTTATCGGTTAAAAAATTGATGGATAAGAAATAAAGAAAAAAAATGAATTATAACAAGGAATCACACCCTGCTTAAGCAATTATCTACTTAGATAGTACATACTTAAAAATAGAATAAAGTTTTATGAAAGGAATATACAAAAGCTTAGATTAAAACATGTAGTACACTAATTCCAAGAATGTATAAAATAAATGTTATATGAGAATAATTAAAATAGCAAACAAATAAACCTAACATTTAATGCGTATTTACAGATAACATATTTAAAAATAATGACTAAACTAACAGCATAATAATAGATGGAGACATAGTGTTAGCTGGAAGGTGAAATCAAAATATAAGAAATGCTAAGAAGATGCATTTGTTACTTGAAGCACTCTCATAGGATGTAAAATGTAAATTTAACAACTAAAGAGTCAATTTTGAACCGTGTAAAGAAATTATAGTCATTAGTTGTCTATACAATTTCTCAGTTTACCTCTTCATTTTGTAAAATACACTCCAATCATCACTTCCCACATTTAGTTATGGTCGGGCTTAGTGTAATATATAGAAAAGCTAATCAAATGCGTGGTGTTAGGTTTAATTTTTTGAAGAAAAAACGCACACTTCATTCAAAAGCCACCATTCTTCATCATTTCGCATGACATAAAATTATGTGTTCTCAATTGTTAGTGAAAGCAAGAAAGATGGTATTAGGCAGTTTAGATCATGAACTAAGAGTAAGGTTATAAATATTTGAGGTGTTCTCACTCTCAAAGGCTGTGTTGACAATAATAAAATGAATAAAAATCGCGATGGAGAGAATCTAGTTATAATTATGAAAATGCCACTACAAATGCGGCACCTAAAAACCAAACACGAATGTAAATTTTATAAGTAGATGTAAAAACAATAATAACTATTACAGGATTTAAATTCATAGTCATAATTATTTACCGAAATTCCCTTATAACGTCATTATTTGAGCATGAAACATAAAACTTTGAGTCTTAATATATGTTTTTTTCTCGATAATTTCACTTCAGTCCAGTACTTGCAGTGATTAACATAAAAATTTCAACGGGTGATTGAATTGTAATTTAAATCTTGTTTTCACATTACCAATAACACTTAAGACTTTCAGCAGTAGGCTAATGTGTGTAATTTTCAATGAAAGCGTGCAGTGACGAGACAATAAATAACCTTGCTATTTTTCCAAGACACTGATATTGACAACATGAGGAAGAATCAATTGATATAAAATAGCAAGGTTGAAATAAATCTAGGCAGATAAGTAGAAATTGGTGATAGGTGTAATTATGTTTCAATTTCGTTGAATTAAGGCTACACGGTAAGGTGAGAAGAGTATATAGAGTGTAAGAAAATTGTAAAACCATGAAACAGGGTGCAAATTAGATTCACCCTCCCTAAATATGAAGCTTCCTTCCTTGAGTCACAAAATGAAAAGAAAATCAATTGAAAATTCTCAATACGGACATCAACTGTACATTAAGAAGAATAATTGTCCATAATATATGCTTATATCCGGATATATCACTTTAAAATACATATATATGTATGTATATGTAAATGTAAAACAAATAATGGTAATACAAAATCAATATTATGCAGTGAGGAGACGAAAATATATAAAAACATTACTGTTCTTTACAAACAAAGGTCTTAAAGGAAATAATCATGTGGGTAAAACTGTGAAAGAACCCTATAATAACAGAATAGTCATATAAACAGACACATATAAAATAAAATATATTATACTGTTATATGGATTTTATTTTTTCCATCTCCAATTAAGCCTAATTTTCTGGACACTGTCAAAAATTTTTCCTAATTTAATCACAACCATTTCTGCGAGCTTCACTTCCTTGTACACTACTTCAACCCGGAGTAGACTCCATTCCTTGACGTTCTTCGTCCTTTCCCAGGAAAACCCCTAGCATAGGGTGGTTTGGCATTCGTTGTTACATAGTAAACACCTCGGGCTCTGAAAATATACATGGAAATATGCAATATTGATGTATGGAGTTGTGGCAATCGAAAATCTTGATCGATTACAGCTTTCGTGTGACATTGCATAAAATCAATAAAAAAGCATCAAAGTCTTGCTGTGAAATTACCACCTCTCAGCGAAAACTAAAGGTTTTACCATCTTTTATGCTTAATCACTCTTCGTTTCTCTGCCAATCGGATCATATAAAAGTGTGTGAGGAAAAGTCTCTTTCAAATATGCAAGAAAACCAGTCATTCGAATGTAGCATTAGCAACACCTGAGGCGAAATTGGACTATAAATTTACACATAATTAATTCATATTAGTGCGATCTCTTTATCCGACGCTAATGCTACTTAAGAATGCTTCCGATACAGAAAATTTGGTCAATAAAAAGACTCACTCGAGACTGACGTGTTCACCCATGAGGACGTATTCCGAGTCTTTCGGCTCGCACCAGCCAAGCAAATAGCTTAGTAAGTTCTGACAAGGACCTGCGTAGAATCCCTTGGGACTGTTGATGGACTCAATGAAGTACGGGGTGACTTTGGTGTGGTCACAAGCCAGAGTGTCTGGAAGCGAAGAGAATTATAATTGCAGAAAGGCAACTAGACATCATTTCGCGTGTTTCTACCAAATATGCTGGTTGTTGCGCATCCTGGTTGACTCGTTCCGCCGTTCACATAGAAGTCAGCATGCCCACTGGGACTCCACTGACCCAGAATTCCGGCCCCTGTGTGAATAACGTCCACGAAGTGCGCATCTGTGGGATCGAGATCCCTGCTGTTGTTGGCTCCAGCATAGAAGAAGATCGTGGGATCCAGTCCTGTGATGCGCCCTAGTTTGCCCTCCTCGGGAGTCAAGTAGTTCGCCACCAAGCCAGCAAAGTGAGCTCCCACACTGTAGCCAATCAAATGCAGATCATCCGGCTGCACCCCTCTCGGATGCTTGGCCAGGTACTTCACGAGTTGTGCAATGCAGAGACTGCCGAACCGTGGCGACCACTCCATCTGGCTAAGGCATGGCTCCCGTGCAGCGTGACTGTAGTCAACAATGATGATATTGTACTCGCCGCGAGTGAAGTACGCTTTCCGGATGTCCGGGCTTGGAGAAAAATTTCGGCCACCGCCAAAGCCATGAATCACGAGCTTCGTCGGGTGGCTGGGATTGAAGTGGGTGTAGTAGAAAGCTTCGGGATTGAGAACATCGATCTTGTCCGGATTGTCTTGTGTGCGCCGCGTGTAGAGGTAGAAATTGATCTTGGGATGGGGACAACGGAAAGGCTTCTCCAAGCACGATGTACTGTTGAAGAGGTTCTGGCCCTGGGTTTTGTTTTCTTCTGCCGCTTCAACTGCCGGGAAGAATTGCTCAGTATGAATTAACAAGCATTACAACTACGGTGAATAAATCTTGTACATCCCACAAATCAGTCATGTTGAATGTTTGATTGCGTGAACTCGCGACTGCTTGAAGTACGCGCGTGTGTAATGATTTAAATTGTAGGATTTTCCGGAGTATTTGAGCCATTATTAGCAGTAAGGAAATTTCAATAATGCAAAAGGAAGATTAAATAACAGATAATGATCTTTGTCATTTTACATAAGTGATTTTTTGCACTTCATTTTGAATTATTCAACTTGTTTTATGCTCTAATAATGCTCCATAAGCACATTGAACGATTTTATATCTGGTCATGTTGGACGTTTTTAATGTGGTTTTCGAAGATCGATCCTGAAATCACAGCTTTTTCCTCTTCCAACACATATTTCTACCGGGTTTACTACAACTCAAACCAATTATGAAACTTCAGAAACTGTCACTTTCGCAATATCAATTACTAGTGCGATAAAAACCAACCTCGACAAGTTTTATTAATTGTTATTGCATTAAAGGACAAGACTAGAAATCACGTTTCTCTATTTTCACTGAAAGGCGTGTTTATGATTGAAAACAAATCTCAATTGATTTTTTTCCAATATGTGGCGCTTCACCCAGAAATATGCAAATTGTGTGTGCTTGAAATACCACAAGAAAACACGCGATGAAACGAAAAAAAACTCCGTCACAGCAATTGGGAAAGAAATCGGGTAAAAAGAGGCATGTTGACAGTATCATTGGTAATAGAGTTCGTTTAGTGAGGAATTAATTGGACAATTTGTGTGATTATAGCGTTGCCAGTAAACCATAAAATCCATTGAGCGCGGGAAAAAGTTGGCGCAGGTTCACTAAGAATATTGCAATAGAGGAATTACTTAACAAATGACCATCACAGTGTCGATACACTTTGAGACGATACTCTGGGTGATATTTGTATGCATATGAAAGGCGCAGTGAAAGTTTATCCAACACACTGATATACATTAATTCTTGTACTGGACAATCTATTTCACATGATGATCGCACTTACGGTGGATTGCGAGCAGCATAAGAAGAAATATCACTGGTAATCCATTCAATAGACTCTGCATTTTATCACCGCAAACACGTCACTTTGATATGTGTGTCGATCACGATAAGTCTGCGCGGAGAATCAGCATCATTTAGCTGATGCTGAACTTTTTGTGGGGGTCTCCAAATGCTTTTTAACCTGCCAAGAGTTTGTGAGGCACTGAAGTGGTGGTAATCCAGAGAAGTCTTCGACCGTAGAGTCGGCCTTCGGTGGAATGCTACACTGTTGAAGCAACCGTCGAGGCGTCGCTGTTGAAAGAGAGAGTGTCCCCACCAAAGTGCGGGGCACTCCACCTCATCCACCTCACCGAGAGACTCCGGCCCGAGAGACGGTCTTTCTGCGATATCGCCAAAAACCCTACTCTCCTCCAGCGCAGACAAGACACTTTGGGAAGCTGTGATGGTCCATCAAGAGTTGCCATCTCTCGCACTTTTGATGGATTGTTGAGAAAGTTTCAAGATCACACCTCACACAAAAAATGAGAATCTCCTTCACTTCCATCTACCAATTTGGGTTTTTAGGCACCCACAAAGACGTGAATTTTGAAGATAGTGTGTTTTATAAAATGTAAATAAGGTGGATTTTAGCTCACTGGCCCAGTGCAATTGTGACATAGTTATCATACACGCAGTGAATCCATTTCACTTGGACTTCCATGTTTGTGGCCACTTTCTTCAAAAGACACGAAAAAACCGTCCAAACACCCACTTTTGCCATTTCTTTCGATGCTTTCGATGTCATCATCCATGGCTAAGTATATCGAGACGAGGAAGTAGGAATGAACAGTGCAATTATAACCACTCTTGCATTTACCGTGACGTGTGTGAATTTCAATTCACTTTCAAGCTTATCGCGCGCTGTTGAAAAAACAGAAAGGCGCAATAATGGAATTGATTGCATACACATGAAAGCCCTGGGAGTGATTAATCGAGCACTCTGGCAATTCGCACACCCTTCGCGATTTCTGATTCCCCACCATAACTTTCTTTGCAATTTTCGAACACACAACAACATAATTTTGTGAATTTTTCTCTCACCGAAGGCGTGCATTTCGCAAAAATCGAGCAAAACAGAGAAAAGATGTACGGAAGAGAAATGTACGCGATGAATTTTTCCCGCGAATCTTTCACTTTATGACGAGATCTTCAATTATGGTGTTTTATACGTGACTCAATAGGATCGGATTTCCCATTACGATTGCGTAAACAATCGATCATATACCAATTTCAAACCATACACATTTCTGTTACTGCAAATATTCATTTATCCACTTCATTGTCAGATTCTGGATAGTCCTCGGGGTCATCTTCCTCCTCCATTCGGCTGTCTTCCCCCTTGGCGTAAGGCGGTTCGTCGTTGGTCTCGACAAAGTACAATCCTCGCGTGCTGGAACAACAATACAAATTGGGATAAAATCGCAAATTATACACGTTAACAGCTCTTTTCACAGCATTTAATGACAGATGAACTTGCAATTTAAGTGAAATTGTACAGTAAAACGAGAGATAATCACAAGATTCGGAATGTGGGCCACCAAAAAACACCGCCACATAATGTTTTGGTTGCATTGTGATCTTGACCTCAATTTAGCAGAGTTTTTCTTCTCATCTTCACCGTGTCAATTATATGGAGAGTCTCGTGCGTCTCGTGTCACACAAATGCGTGATAAACGAATGTCTTTTTCTCGATAATCACTCTCTTTTTTCTGGCGCAACAATCAATATAATATCTGCCCAATTAGCCATGACCTGCAAAGTTTTCACTCCGCGTGTAAGAGGCCTTGTCTCAAGACTTTTTTAAGTACTCCGATGGACATTAGGCCACCATCGTGGTCATAACTCGAGGAATAACTGCTGACTCGTTTAGGCAACATGCTGAAGAATTCAGTAATCATGGTCACAACTTTGGATTATGAACGCCACTATTTTACAGTGATTTCTAAAACCATAATAACTATTATTGGGGGTCAAAGAAATTTTTATGCCTAAAGTCCAATTTTTTGCCTTTTCAGTCGCATTAGTCGTGTGCCCGCAAAGTCACGTTTCTTACGCAAAAGATGAGATGATGGGTAAGCCATTGTGCGAAGTAATTTAATCATTATCATTTTTCTCGCGTAGGAAGAATTAAATGGCACCTCCACCGAAATCTCTCCATAAGCACAAAGCATATCACGCTCCACGGTACTTTCTCCAGTGCAATAAAGTGACAAGAGGCCAATTGTACTCACCTCGTGGGTGTGAACATTCCCATGAGCCCCTTAAACTGACTATCCTTCCTGCAGATGCCCATGATGTACGCGTACCAGTGCGGACACTTGTAGCCCCAGAAGCCCTTCTCGCTGTTGATGGACTCGGCGAAGTATATTGGCGCTCTCACGTGATTGCACGAGCCCGGAGTCATGTCGGTTTGCGATGCACAGCCGGGCTGGAAGTAGCCGCCGTTCACGTAGAAATCCACGTGACCTGTGGGCAGCAAGAGACCCCGACCGAACGTGTCTGTGTGGATGACATCCACGAAGTCAGCATCAGTGGGATCAATGCGATCTTCCTTCGCGGCGGTGATGAACAGAGGTCTCGCCGGATCCAGAGCCGTGACTCGCGCCAGTTTTCCCGATCGCAGGAAGTTCCCAATCATCCCCACCATGTGCGCCCCCAAGCTAAAGCCTATGGCATGGAAGTCCTTCGTTGTTGTCCTATTTGCCTCCACTAGACTGTCGATTAGCATAGCCGTGCAATTGGCAGCGACTTTGAGATTCATCACAGATGAAAGGTAGCAAGGATGCGGCACAAGTGGCCCAAAGTCCACAGAAATGACATTATAGTCGGCGTGCTGGAAAAGAGCTGGTCGAATTTCTTTATTGGGCGAAAAGTCTCTGTGTCCAGTGTAGCCGTGCGCCAAGACAACGAACGGAGCTTGGACGAAAGGTGCATCATTTATCGTTTCGGGATTCGTGAGATTCAGTTGGTAAGGATTTTCCTCATTTAATCTGGGAAAAGACCAATATAGAACAAATTGAGAAGGTTTAAAAAATAGAGTCTATTCCCAACATAAGGAGTTTATCAAACAATGGAATTCCTCAAACTGGTTTTTAAAGAGTATCACACTTAAAGTGTTTTCAAGTTCATGCACAAGTTCAGACTCTTTGATTTTACTTTGCCTTTAAATTTGCATATAAGTCTCACGAGGTTGAAGAGTTCGATCTAGTTTTTAAATTCTGTATTTCCCGAAATGTTCTTGCATTTCCCTGATAATTCTATACACTTATTTCAAAATGGATTTTCCATTGCATAAATGGGGTTGGAATGATAATTTATTATTTATTATACCTTGTATAAAGCCAGAACGTGACATCTTCATTTGGACAACTTTCCTCAGCAACTTTGCAGTTAAAGAAGAATCGCGCACTTTCATCTTCACTACATTGCGAAAATTGCACTAAAACTGCAATCAGAATAAGTTAAATTGACTGTTTAGCTAATTAACTGTTAAATTACCTGATAAAATACACACAATTCGAATAATAATAATGTCTAGCATATTTCCCTAGTTTGTTTTTAACTGGACTAGCTCCTGCTCAGTCTTCTTCCTTAAGAACACTATTCACAATTGCTGGCTCGTGTGTTTACCCACTGCGATTTATATTTCGTATCAAAAAAACTCTTATCAATTGCTTTTCTTTCGCAATGTGAATGGAAAATGTGATTTCCAGCCAAGGCGATGAATTATTTCAACGGGGTGCTTAAATGTTCGGCGGAGAAAAAAACTCCAATAGAATTGTTAACAGAAAGAATTGTTTTTGCTGATGCATTTCTGGTTTCAGGAAGGACTTTCCAGGTTTCATGCACTGAATGAGATTTTAAATACAACCGAAAAAAGAGATTCTTGACCAACTTCAATTGGAAATCTGTCTCATCTTATCATATAAGTTGACGTTCACCTTATCGCAACTCCTATAAATAATAGGTTTTGAGTGCCGTAAGAAATGTTCAAGAGTGTCGTGAGGATGGAAACAGTGCTGAAGAACATTTTCCTGAAGAGTGTTGAGTCTGTGAAGACGAAGAGAATCTTCAGGGATCAGAAATGCTTGCGATTGTGTCCAGAGAATGGTCGATTGTTTGTGGAAGTATTGTCGCAAGTTGACAGGAAAACACCTCTTCGGGTTGATATCACGGATAAGCATTGCCACATCGTGGGCTTCGGTAAAGCAGTTTACGGCATGGCGATTGAAGTGGAACGAATATTGGACACACACCTCAAATCCGGGATTCTCAGTGTTCCGTGTGGAACGTTGGAGAAATTCAAAGACACAGAGACGCAGCCTAAAACCAACAGTCGAATTGAGATATTCGAAGGAGCGAAGAACAACTTACCTGATGCCAATGCTCATGAGACAGCGGTGAAGATTAAAGAGTTTGCCGAGGGACTCTCGGATAGAGATGTGCTATTTGTGCTGATTTCCGGCGGAGGAAGTGCTCTGCTGCCTCTGCCAGCAGCAACCGTGAGTCTTGAGGAGAAAATGCAGGTGGTTCAGTTGCTGGCGAAGAGCGGAGCCTCGATTAATGAATTGAACACAGTCAGAATTGCCATTTCCAGTATCAAGGGAGGAAAATTGGCGATTTCTGCAAGAAATGCTAGTCAAATTGTATCACTGATTATCTCAGATATCGTTGGTGATCCTATTGACTTGATAGCCAGCGGACCGACCTTTATTTCCGGATCGAACTACAACAAGGCGGCTAATGAGATAATCGTCAAACATGGCTTGAGACAGAGAATCCCAAACTCTGTCAGAGACTTACTGGAAAAGTCCTCAAACTCTTGCGAAGGACAGCAGCTGAACAATAATCACATTGTGATAATCGCAAACAACTCCTTTGCTGTAAATCAAGCCCTTGAAGAAGCTGAAAAGAATGGTTTTCACGCTGTTTGCTTGTCAAAGAACATAGAGTGTGACGTTGCGCAGCTTAGCGAAATTTACGTTCAACTGATAATTGCGATTAAGAACTACTTGAAGTCCGGAAATGAGATTAATTTCCTGGCCAGTGCAAAAGAGGTTTTGAAAGACTTATTATATGAAGACGACTTTCTAGATGAGCTCTCAGGGGTTATTAAGAGCAAGGCTAAGAAGGGGATTTGCATTGTTGCTGGAGGCGAAACTACAGTTCAAGTTACTGGCGATGGTTTGGGAGGAAGAAATCAAGAGCTCACGCTGAGAGTCCTGAAAGACTGCCTCGACCAGGACGAAGCCTATGATATTGGAGACGTGGGATTTCTATCGGCTGGAACTGATGGAATCGATGGACCTACACCGGCCGCAGGCGCCGCAGGAACGACACTTTTCCTTAAGAACAACGCCAATCCAGCTGAAGTGCAGCTCTACCTCTCCGCCAACAACTCCCACGCGTTCTGGCAGGAAATCTACCCAGCGGGTCACATAGTGATAGGACACACTGGCACAAACGTAATGGACCTCCACATGCTCCTCGTGCCGTTTTCATAGCGCGCAGCGCGATAGCATCTCGATGGTGGAATGCGAGGCATTAACATTCATTAATGATGATGATAGCAGAGTGAAATTAATTCAATTCCTGTTTATGGGTGTCAATTTACAATAAATGCCTACAATGACGTGGCTGGGGTTTAAAAGAAAAGCCAACGCGGAATAAAAGTAAAGTGCAAGAGAAGGCTCCATGTTATTTTCGAGCTGATTTACTCATATCCGGTTTTCCGAGATCTCAATCCACCACCTACAATTCCGCGCCATTGTAGCTCGTGAGCTGCGCGCGGCTTCTCTTAATTAACAATTAAGGAACTTACTCTGCCAGACTAATAGACGGCAATGATGGTGCTCGTCGCTTTTTTTTCTGCAGCGTTCGCACAATGTAAACTCTCTCATCTTGTGATATTTGTGTTATAAAACTCTTGTGCGCTCTCACGTATGCGTGCAGCTGAAAGGTGTCCTTGTGTTCGTGCAATCGTGCAAAATTGAGACAGATTTCAATGATTTCTTCTCCTTGAGTCGGCAGCCAAATTAGAATAATGAATCATACGCGTCATTTGAGCCATCAGCAGAGAGAGTCCATCCACAAAATACCTGTTCAAAGAAGCCGAGAACTGATCACTTAATAGAGGTTCTTATTCGGCATATCAAATTTCTTCTGCACGGAGACATCTTTGTCATTTTCTGGCCGGTTGCATTTCATCCCTGTCGCGCGGCGCGGTCAAGCAAAAGGACCAGAAATGGCGCGAAGACATCAAAAACCGCCACGCAAGAGGAAATTGCAGTGAACGTGGATTTCCTGTTTGAATTGTTAGTGCATCGTTGGGGCTTTTTTTTGTTCAGCAAATCGGCAAGTTATGTGGATGTTTAATAAATAATTGGAGAATTCAATTGAAAATAGCAAAGCGGTGAAAAAGGCCAACTGTCCGTCATGGACGTTTATTAAATTGTTTATAGTGTTATCCGTTTATTTGCTCTTCTTGCACTCCGCCGAGATTGAGGCGCAGCAGAAAGGACAGATGGACGGACAGACAAGACGGGCGAATAATCAAGTTGATTCCAATGACTATCCAGCCGATGGCCTGCTGGCCATCTCAAACATGTGAGAAATGGTTGGAAACATGTGAAAAAGCAATATTTGGGCGAGGTGGCACCAATATGTCTACTGCAGCAATTCACATTCATTATATTGCCTTCCCATCTCTGCAAAGACACACGGAAAAAAATGTTTCGGGTGTAAATTGTGATGGAATTTTAAACAAGGCAGTTTGCATATACCTCCTAAATTGAAATATATTCAAGCCAAGAGATTTAATCCCGCACAATATATTTGACTTGGAGATAATTACAATATTTTAATGAATTGCAAATATATTCGCGCGTTGGGAGTGAGTGAAAGAATTAATAAAGCGTAGAATGGCTAAATGTGGTAGAAATGAAGATGATCTCAACGTGAATGCGGGACTCAGGTGTTCTTGTCAGCATTATAAATTTTTTCTCCTCCTTTTGCCACCTTCACACGAACGGGCGAACTGAATTGACCAAGCGGGCGATGCTGCGATTCTGGCACTGGTCATCTCTGTCTCATGTACCAGAAGGTATCTGATTACAAAATCTCGAGGCAGCACCGCAGATCGCCAGATCGAAATCTCGTCTACCTACCAGTTTATATTATTTATGATTATTATTCGTAATCGCGCGGAGAAAAAAATTTGATATTTTCCAGGTGTTCGCAACACCTCGATCAATCCATCTCCCCTCATGCACACTCTCTCGCTGGCGACCTCACCAATATTGTACCAAAGCGAGCGGCTCCCCGGCCGCTTTGCGTCACGCGGATCCTCTTGCTGGCGAGTTATTTTGCATAACAAAAAAGACACACTCAAAATATCGCTGGCCGAATCATTTGAAGATGCTGCCATGAGAAAATACCGAGAGTGTCCCATGCATATAGCGAAAATTTCATTTCCCATGAGCTCCAGTCGTTCCAAAACTTCACCACCTCTCTCGCCTGGGCTGGAAATCACGGGAATTTTTCAACCAAACCAGACTTGTCAATCGGAGAGTCCAAGTGGAAAAGTTTGGGGAACAAAATGTAATTAAATTGTATAATGTCACTTTTTGCTTATTACAAAATATTTCCTTCAAATTCGAGAAAAACCCCGTTATATTGGGAACAAGGGAACGGTTGAGAATGAAATGTGGAAGCTCTCGCTTTCCACGAGATAAATTCTGCCGCTGAAGACCTCAAAAATTTTCCACTTGCCCCTGGAAGTGATATCTCCGGGGATTGAGAAGCTGCGATCTTGTAGAGTGTTTTTTTCGATACATTCACCACAATATTCACGCGATCACCAGCGAGTTTGTCGCAGAGACTTTCGCCTTTTATCTGTCTTTTTTCTCCTCTCTCAATCTGGGTGTTGGAGCGCTGATGGTGAAAAAGACTCGGCTGGATATTGGATGTAGATGTGCCATGTCGAGACTGTATTGCATTGGCACGCGGGGAGGATGGCCTCAGCCACCTTGCAATGGATGATAGAAAGTTCAAATTTGAGCAATTCAATGGGAAATTATCCGACATAGTTCCATCATGCAAATTGTCTCTGGCCAGAGTAGACACTTTTTCCCCGCAGATCATCTCGAACACAACCGCGAGAGTTGAACAGTAATCGGAGTGACAGTGTATAGGATGTTGGCTTGTGGCTCCGAGATGGGAGCCAGAGTTCCACATTTTATAATCACTAGTGGACAAGTGTTGTTGTTGCCCCGTTGCTTGGTGTGCCTTGTGTTGAGTGCCCACAAGTCCGATATTAATGTTGAGTATATTGGACGGTGTTGTGCGTAGCTGGGCCCCAACTTTAAACCGTTCACGAGATAGACTTAGCCAGTAGAGAGCTGATCGCAGACTTAACAGCATCAATTTCTGTGGCGGTTTCATTAATTAATTGATTAATTATTTAATTAAGTAATTAATGCTATTACCATAAATCTCCCCCTTTGCCTGCCAACTGGGTGAGGTGGAAAAAAATCGCGTTGTGTCTTTTTTTTTCTCTCCTTTCCATCGATATCGCACTGGACATTTGCCATGCCTAATGGTTGATATGTGTATGCGTGTGCGTTGTGATGGTGAAAAGTGATTGAAAAGTGCCTCTTTCTTCTCTTTTCTTTTCGGCCGATACCTCTGGAAGGTGATATTGCAGCGAAATTTACCATCTTGATGAGCTTTTACGACACGACCACGTAGTGGCTGCCAGTGAGTGGACTCGCGATGGAATTCCATCTCTTTTGCACCACATTCGGTGGCACTGTGTGAAAATCGCCTCTGATAAACCCACTTTGAGTTGGGGACAAATTGCTATTGTCCGGAAGATGTGCATGCCATCCTGTGGCCCATCGGAATTGACTCTATAAAATGCTAAGTGTTTGTGCAGCCCGACTCACTCTCCTTCAGTTTTGCCCATGCCAATATATAGTATAATAACTTTCCTTCACATTTCATCGTCCAGCCTGAAATTGTGTGCGCTTTATTAACAATATTGATCGAAAAGTACTGTTTCTTCATCTGCAGTGATTTTTTTGTCTTTCTCTCCAATGTGTAAAAGAGAGATCCAAGACCGACAAAACGTACTCAACAAATTAGGAGTGACCTCTAACATTTTTATATAAAGAACCGTACAAGTGGAAAAAGAAGAAATAATCAACGAAACACACAGTCAAGAGTGATATTTGGGAGACTCGAACGGTTTGTCTTGTGTATTTTTCTAACTAATTAGTAAAATAAAACTTGTGACTAGCATATGATCACTTCAGCGCATGTACTTCGTGACGGAGTCAATTACAAAATATTCGATAAACAACACACACTGTTTTTTTCTGCTTGTGCTCCATCTTTGGGGCCACAGTGAGAAAAGTGCCATTGGGAGATTTGTTGAAAACGAATTTTTATCAATTTTTTTACACCGCACTAGACCGTGCAGAGAAATCCAGTCGAATTGCATGAAACGGAAAACACTACGGACGAGTTTTGATAGTTCAACGTGAAAAACTATGTGAAACACTGACAGAGAGAGAGAAAAAAAGTGCTTCTATTTTGCGCATTTATCCAGAGACAGCAGCTTGTGTGCGAAAACCAGAGGCGCACAGACTCGATAACATGAAAATCCGCCTCTAAAGTGACTCCAACTCTGGACCTGTAATGACTAGGTGTAGGCTCCTGAAGCTAAGGATATATCCGACCATCACACTCACTTCGCATCCAGCCGTCATCTCAACCCGGATCAGTTCTGCTATTTGGGAGTAAATCTCTCAGGGGTGCCCTACCCCCCATCCTGCTACCATCGCACCAAAAAGGTGAGTCCGCATCGCGAGATCAAAAGATTTCACAAACCCGAAGTGTTTACACGATGCCCAGAAACACTCGCTGACAGATATATTTTTCACGAAAAATGTACTACGCGCAATTCTTTCGGACAGCCAAAATCACTGCACAATTTATGTCAATGATTTAATATGTAATACAGCAATGATTTGAGATTTCTTCCGGGTAATGACTCCGCTCCCGAGTTGCCAAGGGGCGTCAAAGTGGCCTTTTGGCAATGAGATTGTTGCGAAGTGAAAGATGGGGCAGAAGAGATGAGCTAAATTTAGTATTTTGTGCTTCACTTGATGAGTGATATTGGCCACAACCCACGAGCAAACACTGAGAGAAAATCACATAACCCGAACTTGCCAAGTGCGATAGTCTTAACAACAGCGGTATTAAGCCGAGGCTGTGATAATGAGAGGCTAGAAAAAATCAGTGAAAAGACTCAAACACAGTCAATTATCAGCCTCCTTGAGTTCCGTGTGTATTTGAAATCTCGTGACCAGCAAAGTAGCAACAGGTGTAACTTTGTACCTTCAATTCGATCATTTTTAATAATTTCATTAAGCCGAAGAATGCTGTAGAGACGTGAAGAAGTATGCCGATGGCTGTGTGAAAAGAAATGAGGACGTTTTATTGATCAAGTCCCGTTTTTTTTCTTCAAAAATAACACTCGTTGTTATTTTTCTTAGTGTTTACCTGTATATGTATGTAAATCGACTCTGAGAGCGAGAGAGAGGCGAGATTACGAAATATTTCACTTTGGAAACTCTCGATTAGGAATTAATGGTTGTCGTGTGCTTTTTTGCCCTACGCGCGGTCTTTTTTTCGTGGTCACTATTGGGTGAAGAATGTTGATTTTTCGTAATGAAGGGACATTATGTAAATTGCTATATTTCTCAATTAAACGCTCAGACTGGGGGAGAATTTGACAATGGCCCTTGTGTGGCGGTTCCGCGGACCGAGCGCCATGGCTAACGATCGTGATTGCCAGCAGTTGAAAATGATCGTGGTGAATTCAACGCGAAATTAAAATTCCTCTGTACGCTGGTGAGTAGCCATGGCAAGAGTAACGATGTCCGTTTGAGATGAATGAATGAAAATCAATCCATGTATGTCAAAATAATGTACTCTTTTCAATGAGCATCGCCAACCGGTAGCAAGAAAACGTGCATCTTTCCGCTGCTACGGCTACATATATATGCACATATCACGCTGTCGCGGAGGGCAATGGTGACGAGTTGCGAATGGCAAGAAGCGCAAACTGCATCCAGGCGATGCGAGGAAAAAATCGCGCGCACACATATTTTATAAATAATTTAAAAGATCAGCGATCATTCAACCATCCATCATTGAAATCACAATCCATTGATAAATTCATAAGTCATCTCATTTTATTCTTGTCACGAACATCCTATCGATACATTGCTGGGCACCAATTTACAGTGGCAATCAATAACAGATCTGCAGATGCTGTTAATTACGAGAGAATCATTGTAGAATCGATCTGCGAACTGTGCTAATTTTTCATTCTGATTCCGTGGGCAATCATTGCTTGGGGGCTTCGAAGGGAAGCATAGAATTCCCATTTGAGTGATAGAAATCCGTGTCAGAAGGACACTATCGCTCCTCACTGTGCGCTGTATCGCATTCTGCAGATGGGAAAAAAGTGAACAAGTCTTCTGCTTGACTTGTATATTAAAATAACAAAATCCTGAGGACAAGAACTACACAACTGCACAATAACTTCTCATTGTTGCAAGATGTGTTCAGTGTGGATGGAAGCGAAAAGCGATGCAGAGGACAAAATCATTGAAAGAAGTAGTTGACTAATGAATTATTGCTTCTGCACTGGATCGCGCGCTCCTCTCCTCTTCACATGCCACTCATTCTGCAGCTACTGTGTACACCTCATCCACGCACCAGCATTGTAACAGATGCCTATGATGGAATACCTATCGGGCGGGTTCGCGGTGCCAGAATGCAGGCATTAATGTGGAAGACATGAAGCCATGGCGAAAAAATGTGCCCGCACCGGGGAAAAACCAGGCCGGCCGCTCGGCGTTCGCTCAATTGTGTAATTGAAGAGATGGCCAAAAGAGAGAATGAAGGCTCCCATTGGGAAATAACATGTGGAATTCAAGGTAGTTTCCGGATGGCTTTTTCGCCATGGCAACAGCACGCAGACAATCGCCACTGGCTCTCCAGCATCGCCCAAATAACTTACATTTCAAACTCCTCAACTATACAACACAAAGCCAACAAGAGCACCATATCGTCCGCCTCGTGGCCTCAGCGTCAATTGAGAGAGACGCGATGCAGAATTTGAGATGGCATAAGAATTGATACATCCACTTTTTAAAAATAACCATAAGATCGGTTGTTCATCTGCTCACCAGTAACATCCCAGAGGTTGACATTTTTCTATCGACGTCATCAGAAGAATGTTACCAAACTGGTTCCTATCATCGTACATACATAAAGCCACATTAAATGATGAAGTTACTTATTTTTAACCATAAAAAATATATACATATACTGTAATACATTACCAATGTATTTGAAATGTAGAGAAGACTCCGCAGGGTAAAGTTTCGAAGACATCGATGAGAGAAAAAAGCACAACTTGTGTGCACACAGACGATGGCAAATTTATCAGCGCACGATTTGCAATTTTTCCTTCAACATATATCCTGAAATTTGAATAACAGCAAACACACACGATGTTGAGTTCCTTAGTTGTTTCTTTCCGAGAAATCTCTCAACGTCAACCAGATACAATCGACGTGCGTCATCCCAAGCCAGAATCAAGAACACGTCTCTCCACCTTCTATATCATTTGTGATTATTGTCAAATATTTCACACCAATTGCAATGCTGTTGTTTTCCTCATATTTGGCTGTTTGGCAGAAATTCCACTTGACTGCCATCGCGTGTGTGTTTGCAAAATTTACGCGGCGAGTGTATATGTAAAATATAATATTGCAGTTTTTTAATTGTATGTTTTACCTCACCATTCACTTGTTCGCCAGCAACACTCCTTGCAACGAAATGGCCATTATATCCTCATTGAAACTCTCGCTCTTGAAATATCTGACAATTTCCGCTGTGACTAGCAAAATGTGATCCATTTTGCCATAATACATTGCTCTGAGGCATTTAAGGTGTAAATCTGTCACATTCTAGATTCTTATGCGAGACGATGTCTGTGCGAAACATTTGATCGACCATACTGAAAAATTTAACACAGTTCCCACATTAGATGATTGAATGGCATTTATAATGATTGCGATTTTATTTATAGAGGAATGCCGGTTAATTATAAATACTCAGTGGACACCTTCTGTGAGCACGCTAATTGCAATTAATTCATATAGATATTCTGTTACATTTTCTTATTAGTTTTCACAGTGAGTATTTGCGTATGCACCAGCGTTCTGAAGTGTTGTTGAGGCTCATGTGTAGCATATGGAAGTTGCACAGATGCCTATACAAGCCTTCGGTTTTTGCGATTGTGCACACCGAGATATTAAAGATTATCTTGCCACTGGTCTTCAGAAACGAGTTATTGAATATTCACATTTCAATTCAAATTAGGTCTGACTCTTGTTGTGGCTTTACTTTAGCAATTCACCCATACTATATATTTAAATTATGCGAGTAAAAACAATTTTAATGATCTACTACAATGACTGCCACGCTCAAGGGAGATGCCATGGAAATCTCCCAGTCCAGCATTCTCTCTAGATTAGATGGATGTTTTTATCAAAATTCTGAATATAAGCCTTTCAATATGAATTTCATATTTCTGTACACAAGTTTCTTCATAACTCCGTGACTCATCGCAATGAACTTTCATTTATCTCCCACATCCTCTGTGCTCTGAAATTCATTTGCGAGAAAGAGTGCGGTCCCAATTGACGCCTGGTTTCTTATTAATTCACTTACTCATCGTGGCTGAGTAACGATTAGTGTATTTTGGCAATTGAATTCCAGTGTATTCGGCGTCTTTGTCCTCCAGCCAAGGAAGCCGCCCTGATAAAACTCATCTTTTCACTGTAAAATGGTCGTAAGCCCGCGTAAATGAATTGTTACGATGGAGTCAAACTGTCTGGGACATGTTTGAGAGGCACACGCAAAAAAGCTCTCCTTCACAAATCACATTTAATGGTGGTGTTCAGCTCCACCAATTGATAGTGTCTATATTTTCCCAATTTAATTGCACTAATGATACCGTTGAGTTTATGATGTGGATTTTCGATGGTATTTACCGAGGCTTTTGAAAACTTACTCACACTCTCTGTGAAGTTGAATTCGCCATAAATCTCGGGCGATCGTTTACAAAATAAGAGAGGCTTGAAGGAAAATTGGAGGCAAAGTCCAAAGTTTTTCAGCGTATTTGTAATAGACAAAGTGGGTGGATTGTACTGATGGAGAATATATAGAACTATCTTCCTTGAGATACAGAGTCTCTTGTTCGCATTTTGTACTTTTCAAATCACATCTCGTGTGTGTTGTTGCGAAATGTTTATTTGGCTTTGAAAGTGGAGTCTCAAATATAAATGTTTCTAGCGAGATGGAGAACACTGCATGATCCTAAACTCTTTCATGCGGATGCTTGTTTGAATATTATCTAACCTCTTTGTACCCATTTAGCGAAATTGAATGACTTGGAGGCAGTAAAAGACCTCGTTTTCCAAATGCTTCACACTCTGTCTGCCTCTCTACAATTTATTTTTACCACTTCTGTGGTCGCGATCCTCGGAAATTTTCAGGAAAACTCCGTGCTGATGGTGCGGAAAGTGCTCCACGACCGACACACTGATCTTGAATTGCTCCATTCGTGTGAATTTTTCTCACCCAAACATTGCCGTAATGGAGATTTTGTCCATTTTGCAGTCTGCATACTCACTTTTGCTCGTGACACGTCTTATATAACCCGGAAACACCTCAACGCCGAATTCATCCAAAGATATAGCAAGAGTAA